CCGTGGATGTCTCATTGTTGACAAGGACCGCAAAGGTGCTGTCGGCTCGTGCAATACAGACAAGTTGACGGATGGTGGACGCTGGAAACATCCCCATGCTGTCATGAAAAGTGTCGTCTACAGTACTGTGCTGAAGTTTTAAATTACTTTAGTACAAATATTGCTGGGTGGGACCGCCCTAGCCAGAGGATGACTCGGGATCATCATCATCAGTATCATTCCTATGGTCGATAAAATCGTTACCTCTTTGTGGGAAGTTAACAGTGGTAATCCTATGGTTACTATTCCATTAAACTCTGTGGGACTGTAGATGCGGTAGAAACGACACAATAGCAGTGTACAAATGAGACGGTATACATGACAGACTTGGGCAGTACTAACGAGACAACAGTACATCATAGATATAAGAGTACTGCATAGGACAGATGGGCAGTCCTAAAGCTTATTTGCGTATAGCGAGACTTTGGATTCTGACGTTTTGACAGAATCAATAGCCGTTCCATTAAAAACAAAACAATGATCTCTCTTGGGAAATTGGGTCCTAGTACAACAAAAATTCACATTTGCAAACGTTCTCATTTATTGACAACAATGTAGCCGAGCTCGCAGGCAGCGTGCAAGTCAGCAGCAGTGAGCCAAGAGCCAGCGTGGCCTGCTGGAGATGTGAGACTCGAGAGGGAGAGAGAATTGGTGGGTGGTGGTGGGTGGTAATGGGTGGTGGTGGTGGGTGGTGGTGTGTTGGTGGGTGGGTGTTAGTGGGTGGGTGTTGGTGGGTGGGTGTTAGTGGGCGGGTGTTAGTGGGCGGGTGGTGGTGGGTGGGTGTTAGTGTGTGGGTGTTAGTGGGTGGGTGGTGGTGGGTGGGTGGGTGGTGGTGGGTGGGTGGTGGTGGGTGGTGGTGGTGGGTGGGTGGTGGTGGGTGGGTGGTGGGTGGGGTGGTGGGTGGGTGGTGGGTGGGTGGTGGTGGGTGGGTGGTGGTGGGTGGGTGGTGGTGGGTGGGTGGTGGTGGGTGGGTGGGTGGTGGTGGGTGGGTGGTGGTGGGTGGTGGGTGGTTGGTGGTGGGTGGTTGGTGGTGGGTGGTTGGTGGTGGGTGGTTGGTGGTGGGTGGTTGGTGGTGGGTGGTTGGTGGTGGGTGGTTGGTGGTGGGTGGTTGGTGGTGGGTGGTTGGTGGTGGGTGGTTGGTGGTGGGTGGTTGGTGGTGGGTGGTGGGTGGTGGGTGGTTGGTGGTGGGTGGTTGGTGGTGGGTGGTTGGTGGTGGGTGGTTGGTGGTGGGTGGTTGGTGGTGGGTGGTTGGTGGTGGGTGGTTGGTGGTGGGTGGTTGGTGGTGGGTGGTTGGTGGTGGGTGGTTGGTGGTGGGTGGTGGGTGGTGGGTGGTTGGTGGTGGGTGGTTGGTGGTGGGTGGTTGGTGGTGGGTGGTTGGTGGTGGGTGGTTGGTGGGTGGGTGGTTGGTGGGTGGGTGGATGGGTGGTGGGTGGCGGCGGTGGGTGGTGAGTTCACAACGCACGGGTCGACTCACGCCCAATGCGTGAGACCCGGCAGGGCGCATGGGGCTTGAGACGAGCCACTGCCGTGCCAACAATGTCCACGGCTGGGAGGCGTCAGACCAGATGGGGTGTGGTGGGGGGGTGGGAGTAGTCGTGGAGGGAGGCAAAGAGGTGCACCAACGCACGACTTTGTCTCACGCTCTCACCGTAGATGAGCGCCAGGGACCGCAGCAGCAGCTCCCGCGTGGCCCACAGAGATCCGGGCCGCAGAATCCGCGCGCTTCCTCGCTCCGTCTCCTCCGGAGGCTTGCCTCCATCTCCTCCTCCTGCTGCTGCTGCTGCTGCTTCATTGACCCTCGTCGCCTGCTCCTTCTTCCTCTGCCTCACACCGTCTCCGTCCATCGCTGGGGAGCGGACGACCCGAGAGACGAAGCGAGCAAGGCCACAGCGACAGCGCCACGCCGCAAGCTGCTGCTGCTGCTGCCGCTGCTGTCACTGTCGATATGAATGGGGGAAGTGAGCCGAGAGAGGGCGTCCTTGAGAACGAAGTTGCGGCGCCGGTCCGTTGACGTATGATATTCTTGGTTCTTTCGGTGAAGTCACGTAAATAGAAAACAAAACAAAAAAATCGAAAAAAGACAATTAAATAAAAAATAATAAAATAAAACTATAAAATAAAATAATAAAACAGAAAAAACCCACGTTTCGATCGCAAAACAAGCGGTATTCATCAGGCTGAGATTAAATTTAAATTATATTTTATTTTACAATTTTTATTTACATTTTTTTAGAATTCTTTTGGTTTCCTATTTACGTGAGTTTACCGAAAGAAGCACTAATATTAATTCCTGCAGTCACGAAAGTTGTAAGTCAACATTTTAATTGACCTTTGAATTTGACACCGTGCACAGGGTGGTGGGACATTGATGGGTTGGTTGCTGCTGACGTTCAACTTCTTTCGCGCCGTACGTGGCCAAACCACGCTCGTCGGGGGCGCTGGGGAAGGACAACAGCACCTAACACAGCCAGCAGTTCCACGGAAATTCGTTTTCAGTCGAGATGATTTGAAAGTGCATCGCCCCAATGTTCTTCCTAATATCGGAAGAGCGTTCCAGACGGCCGCAGAAGCGCGTCTGAAAGCGCGCGACGCGGTGCCCACAGTCTGTGTTCGATGGGCAGCCAAAATAGCGCAGCCCTTTATGTCAATCCACTGCTGGATGAGGACCCCCCCCCCCACCCCCGCTAGTCGCGGGGGTTGTTTGACCATACTGCACGTGCCCCCCCCCCCCAATGATCCGATCGAAATCCTTAATTTCGATCGGATCATTGTGGTTTATCAGTAATAATTCGGCATTTTGCGATCCACACTGCCACTGTGTAGAATATTATTTCGTGCCAGGGACTCTATGAGATGATAGGACCATAGTCTGAGTCCATAATTGGCAATAAGTAACGGCAAAGCGGCTATAAGTGACTCATAATTGTGCGCAGTTGCTTATACAGTACACGACTTCCCTGAAGGCATCAACACCTCCAGCGAGCGCGATGCCGATCACACCACGCGGTTCGAATTCGATCCTCGATCGATGGCTGAGCCATCGCTGCACACGCGTCGAATACAAAGAAAGGGACAAAGTCCTTCCTTGATTTGAAGCTTTCGTGACTGCAGCAATTACTCTTTGGTTCTTTCGGTAAAGTCACGTAGAAAGAAAATAAATTAAGTAATAGAATACGTCGTTTCAAAGTTCATTTATTAGGTATAGCCATGTGAGCCATTCGGCTCTTGAATCGGGTGCAACCGCAACAAACAAAAAACATGAACAAGAAAACATCTTAAAGTGACTATGTGCAAACTGAAAATCCAAGAAAAGACAGCAAAATATTGCAGAAAAAATCCCCGTACACCAACAACCCTGTGCAAATATCCCAGTGGAATGCAACACAAGCAGCCGTCATCAGGTAGAAAACAAACCTAGTGATCTTTTAAATTTGAGACAAAACAGACACGGAGACACGCACATTGAGGTTCACTAGGGTTTGTTTTCTACCTGATGACGACTGCTTGTGTTGCAATCGAAACGTCGTATTTTATTACTTAATTTATTTTCTTTCTACGTGACCTAACCTTAAGAACCAAAGAGTAAGTCCTTACTAACAACTCCTAACATGTTTCATTGCTGGAGGGGTTTGCCCGCCCTACCTGAAAATCCTAGCTCCGCAACATTGCCACTGCAGTGCTCACCGAATGGACTTCCCCCCGCACCTTCTATTAGCACGGTGGGCTACGTACGGTGCGAAAGAAGTTCACCGTACATCCATACAATGCGTATACCTCCTCGTTTATTAATGTAGGGGGTTATATGATCTCCTTTGCCCCTCTCCGCACAAGCCCAACACTGCTGCGTTTGATCTGCCAGCTTTGACACGGCCACGTTGCTGTGGGTCTCCTGTTACCCCATACACACGCGATTCTTGTAGTAACCAGCTTTCACTCACGCACACTTTGATGTTTCAGTAAACACGAATTTGAGAAAAGTGGCCACAATGTTTTATAGGAGCAAAACCACTTATTTTGTTACCAAGCAGCAACTTCATAATCCTTCCCATTGACAAGATATAATATAATAGGGGTTTTCCCCTTTTTTCTGGCAACAAAACTGAAACCTTTTTACAAGGATTCATGTCTGCATTAACCACAATACTTGCAGTCAAAATGTAAACAAAAAACACTCATAATATATGCAGTCCTTGAAACTGATTGGTCCACACCAAGGGACGGCTTTCTTTTGAGCCTCAATCCAATTGGTGCTCGACCAGAGGACGCCAAAAGGCGTACAGCTCAAAGACAATGCACCATCAAAATAATGAGGGCTCTGGGTGAGCGTCTACATCTTGAAGACGACAGTTTCCACCTGCGCTCAATAACACTACTTTATTTAGAGCTATTAGCTCTTTTCAGAGGCGACCTAGTCACACACGACAGCTCATTGAAGTGGCTAATCAGAGGTATTTATAGGAGCCAAATAATGTATTATCAGAAAGCTATACCCGGTATGAGTGGTAAAACACATGAGCGTATGGCAAAAACTGGGTTCATGTTTTTTTTTCCGGGTTAGATAGCATAAATGTGTCGTTAGACCCGCCACCACCCGACACAGCCAATTAGTATGGTTTGTCACGTAAACAGAATATGCCAATTCGTTACTAGTACAGCACACCGGCCTATGTGTTACAAAAAATTGGTTCACTCAATACACTGACAATATTCACGCTACTCTGTGATTTGATGCCTTTTCAGTGTCTTTCCCATGAACTGATACTTGTGAAAACATGTTCTAAACATAAGCGTCACAGACTTCCAATGCACACTGTTGAGTAATGCGATGTATATAGCCCATTGTAGAAATGCAATGTGTCTGAATCCCAACATCAACTGTTCAATCTCCGGTAATATTCGGCTGCAACACTCGAAAGAAAAACAATTATGGCAGTTTTTTTTTTATAAACAAAGAATACATCTTCACAATCATCGCAGTCACTTTATTGAAAAGGCTTGAGACCAGGCATTATTTACAGCTCCATATTTTTCTTTTGTCGCTTTACAAATATGAAAAAACACCCACAGGCTGGCCGACTTCTTAGCGTGCAGGATGAGAAATAAACCTATGCAGTTACTGTTAAGTCACTGATTCGTGCTGTGCTTTAAAGCCCCCGTTTGCCAATGAAAGAACGAAAGCTTGAGAGTGGGAAGCTTCCTTTAAGCATAGGCATCGGGCCTGTAGGCAATAGGCGCATCACCCAACTTGTTCCAGATGATGTATTCTGCGGAGACGAGTTCTCTTGCTGAAAAAGAAAAAAAAACACAACAATCAAAAACAATCAACGGTTTTTTTAAAAGGTTGAGACTTTGTAGAGAGTTATGGTTGGTTGCAGCACCACCCACGGAGTGGGCACGTGTGCGCCCGCTATGTGTGCTGCTTGCCGGTGATCAGCTTGGGCTTGACTGGTGGCTGAACTTGTATGGAATGTGGATCCACGGCGCAGCCTGTCAGCGTGTAGTCCTGAATCTTGAATCGCAGCTGCATGGAGAGAGACATACATGGACTTCACGGTGCAGCGTGGCCACAAACTGCATTTAGTCTCAAGCATGAGCGCAATGTTTAATCGCCACAAAAAACCATTACATTGGAATACAAATAAAGTGCATGACATTATCAGTATGGGTGGCTCATGAAAAATATTCACAAGTCTCAAGCAAATTGCATCTGCCCAATCGGCTTAGTCAACGTGCATTCCTTAGAATTCTTAAATCAACTTATATCAGCTCAAGAGTCTTAGTCAACTTGTATCAGCCAACGTGTATCAGCTCAGGGCTCTGGATCAACTTGTAACAGCTCGGTAGACTCAAGTCAACTTAAATTACCTCAGCAGTCTCCGGCAGCTATAATCAGCTCAGTAGTTTTGGTCAGCTTGCATCAACTCAATGGCCTTAGTAAACTTGTGTCAGCTCAGTAGCCTTAGCTTACATCAGCTCAGCAGTCTCAGGAAACGAGTATCAGCTTTCAGTGTGCTCTTTCTCCCCCCCTGTTAGTCAACACATTGAGTATGCACACCTATCAAGTAGACGTAACACACTCCTGTTCTAGCAGTTCATTGGACCAGCATGTATACATATGAGCTGGCATATTAAACATCAATAACTTAATTAATCTGCAGGCTGGGTTCTCCAAACTGGCTATCCCCAGCCCATGTACTGTACAGCTGGCCATGAGGTTTTCCTCCAATGCGTAACGCTATGGGGACCACACCCAAATGCATTAACGCTGATAACCTGCAGGCAACGTTTATCTACGCCACCGCGGTATATTATTAATTCATTTGTTCTCAAGCACATCACTAAACAGGCAATGTAATATTTCTTCATTAGTTTGTCATCATTAATTCAGGTTTGTAGTACAAACATATATTATTGTGGTGCTTTATTACATTGGCAGATTTATTTTAAATTGGATTTCCTTCCCTTCTCGCTTAAAACTGCCACTCGTAAAATGCATTCATCTATTACTGCATGTATTATACAGAGGAACTCGAAAATCAAATAAGAAAATTTACAATTAGGCGTATTTGCCAACCCTACCAATTTAAGCAGAAGGCTGCCAATTTTTAAACCATTTCACCACAAACTGAATTTCAAAGCTGATCAAAGCACCTTATAATTTTTTTTTACTAAAACGTTGACAATTTTTGCATTGCAAATCGCTATGCGGTGGTGACACTAAAAACATCATTAGATTCCTGCTTAAATCAGTAGGATTGGCAGATGTTAGGTAGTCTGAATTTTGGACAGGATATTGAAACAAACAGGATTATTTTTTTTCATGTCTGCATTACTGTGGTTTATTGGCAGAGAATGTGTGTTGCTTTTCAAACCTGAACGTAGGAATCGAGTACATTGCAGGAAATGTCTACAGCTTCCTTTTCCGAGCTCACACCAATGCACGCAACGAGACTGGCTTCTAGGGACTTTGGAAACCGTTGACCTAGCAAAGGGGAAAAAAACCCATGTCAGAAGATTTCAACATCAGTTCTTTAACCCACAAACAGCCTAGTTCCTTGTGCCTGCCATTTTTCTACACTTAAGTGTTCCTTCGCTATGTGTTGCACACCATTATTCTCATACAGTTGCAATGTAATCATATGTAGCTTCTGTTCTAACAATGTAGATCAGTAATACAAAAAAGAATGTGCCGGGGTGATTAGCGCAGTGTATTTATAAACCCAGCAAACAGTTTGATTCTGGGTCATGGTGAGCATCAGCGACGAGTGATATCTGAACGGGTCCTTGATCCCCCCCCCCCCCTCTTCACCAACCCACACTGACCAGTGTGGTCAAACGACCCCCATATGACTGACACGGCAAGGTCTTCATACACAAGTTGATTGACGAAGGGCTGTACGTTTCTTTTGCCTAACATTCTAAAATCAATGGCAATTCACAGAACAATGATATATGGATCGATATCTGAAAATTGTACAGGATCTTATCCATACATTGTACACGACCGTACGAAGCAAAATACAACTACATTTAAATTATTAAATTGGTAAATGTATTAAATGTTAGGCTTGTATGTAAATTATATCACGTACATATTTACTGTAATTTGTTATGTAGTGAAAAGTAGACTGCTGTGGTAAAATGTAATTCGAGTTGAAAATCATAGCTTTAAGCATCTAATACCATACAGACCCTTGCTCATACCATACAAAATATACAATTGCTTACCAATAGTCCAGATGAGCAAATCCTGGTCCCTGAGTGCTTCCAACTGACCACATGATACTTTGTAAGCCACATTCGTTATGGGGCCACTAGAGGTGACATAAAATATACAGAAAGCATCAATAATTATGCATGACCCTGTATGTAGTGAAGTCAATTCCAAGACATCAAAGTCTTAATGTAACTAGGTCATTCATCCATGCCCCACGACTGCACGCTTGTATCAATTCTGCATTACTCAATGCAAGATTGAAATGGTGGCTAGAGTGGGATTTTTTCCCACCCCATTTAGAATATTTATGGCACGGGCCTCAAAAGCAGACACCCTTAAGATATTCATACACGCGTAATACGGAGTTGTTATTCCTTAAAAAAACATCTATTTAAAACATCGTTATTGGATTACGAATTCCAAGAATTTACCAACATTTCTATCCCATCCACTTAAAATATACTTGTGTAGCATTAGTAAGGGAAAGTGAAGTTTCATACATTCAATGATGAATTTTCCATATGTTACATCTGAACTATCATTCAGCTGCACTCAAGAAAACAACCTACAGCATGTACATCGTGAAAAAGCTAACAATTCATCCCTGGGATTACTTGCTTATGCCACAAGAGGGAGCCCTAGAGAATCCCTCGACTGAGGTATATGGCCTACTCTTCCACGCTAGCGAGGTGCCTTGGAAGAGGTCGGAATACTCGTATTACAATCCGCAGATCAACATGTGGTGTGACTATACGGTTGGGTAGGCCAGAGGTGATGGAAGGGGGTTTAAACAAAAAATGCCCATTTTCAAATTCCACGCCAGGGGTGTACCTGTTTGCCAAGGGAATGCGTGCCTCGAAGTGGTCAAAGGAATTTTTCACGGTTTCATGTAGCCTCAAGTCGAGGGTCAACCTCAGAGCCAGTCCTTTGCCGTTTCGTTCACTTCCAGCCTCCCCAGTTCGTCGATCCGACCGGTCCTGGTCGCCGCCCTCCCTGTCGTAGCGCTCAAAATGGTCTTCTTTGTCTTCGTCCTTCTCCAGAGCGAGGCGGAAGGAACCACGGACAGGCGGAATGGGCGCCTGCACAATGCACGTGGATTAGACACGGATTACAGGATTTAAGAAAACCAATTTTTCAATTTGTAACGTTATTACATTACTTAAACACCAAGACTTTGTTGTGGGGTGTAACACAAACCCAATTAACTGAATTAGTGCCATGAGCAATTCAATTAGCAAACACAAATGTAATTTTTAACCATGTTAAAACTGCTAAGAGATTAGCTTCAAGTTTCTATGAAATTGATGTTTGTTGTCAATATACTGCACTATAGGCTCAATGTTTACAACTCCTACAAGGATATTACTTTTATAGAGCTACATATAATCCTTTGTGGACCCCCAGACTTGATAATTTTTTCTTATTATTTTATAAAGTAAAACATTTTAACACATTCAATAATTCACACGGATGTGAAAGCCTAATCAGCTCCATCGTAATACAATTAAAACACAATAATAGATCCGATTTTGGGCAAAGGTCCATCATCATAGAAAGGCCATTTCCTACCATTGCTTACTATGAAGAAGGGCTATTCCTTGAAACACCAAATTAAAATATTTTCTCTTTAGGGCAACGATATCGATAAAACCAAGTTATTGTTATTTGCGCTTGTGCACCACTGGCAATGCAATATGTATGTACGACTCTTTTGCACCGCATGTAGCCAACCATGCTAATCAGAGTATCACAGTTTATTTAAGGAACAACATCTTCATTCACGGACAAAATAAGTAAGACAAGCGTCGCCGCTTCTTGCCAACACCTGCGCCGTGTAGGAGCACAGCGCGAAGCCGTCGTGCGGTGGCACGAAGCGGAAGCGGTAGGGCCCCGTGAAGGACAGGTCCCCTCCGTTGGGAGCGGCGACGCTCAGCGGGCACACGAGCTGCGGGTCGGGCGCCAACACGCACTGGTGCAGCAGCAGGTCCTCCAGCGGGACGCCGTTCGCCGGCAGCGTCAGATTTGCGCTCACGTCCGGCGTGCCGTCCAGCTCGCACTGCGAACGACCGCACACGGAGATGAAGCGTATGGCCCCGCACAGGATGTTGAGGCAAAGTGCTGTTCAGCGGGCACATCTGATGGCTAGGTGCAGCGCATGAAAGAGCTGTGTGGCCAGCGACCACGTTCGACCGCCTTTCATGTATCTCCAGTGGTGATGTTTATACATCGCACAAGGTACAGATTTAAGGCAGAGTCGAGCTATAAGAGACCCGCCATCATTTAAGAAATCAGCCACCGATTGTCTGGGTCAGTGACCTGAAAAGTATAAACACAGCTGGTGCACCACATCCAGTAGACCTCTCCCAATGGCTGTGGCTGCTAGTCACGTGGCACCTACTGCAGTCTTACAAGGACCTGGAGAATATTCAGTGAAAAATTAGGCGCCAGCTGTAGCTTAGGAACATTTGACAGTGAGGAGCCATCAAACGAGGCATATAGCAGTACAATGTTGTTGAAGCACCATTAGGCGTGGTTTTCTCTGGATTAGAAACACGACAGACATAAACATGAGACAGCATATATGGTTGATGGACAAGACTGGTGATGGAAACAGCAGCTAAGTGCACTCGAAAGGATGACCAACGTAGAAATTGAGCATCAAGATCAGCTCATGTGGAGGAGTGAGATGGATTGTGTGGCATCACGTAATAGTGAGGGATGGAAAATATATGGGGATGCCTTCATCCAGTGATGGATAGACAATAACCAACGATGATGTTGATGAGATATGCCTTGCGCGCCAAGCTGCGCAAGTTATTAATTACAAAAGAAAACGTGAGTTTGGCACAGTTTGTCACGTAACTTCGGGAGCGCCGCTAGGCTCACCTTGCACTCAACGGATCCGTACACCTCCCAGACGTCGGGCACGTCCCTGCGCCCGTACTGCACGGAGCGCACCACCTCCGCCACGCTCATCCTGCACGAGCGGCTTCACTCGCTGAGCGCACAGGGGCCGCCATGCCGGGGCAGGCCGCTGCTGCTGCTGCTCTGACGTTCCGCTGCTGCCAGACGGTGTGGCCAGCTCCCGCAGCAGCACTCTGAAGTCGGTTTCGGCCGGGCGGCCAAACGGGCAGGCGTAGATCATGAGCGTGCTGAACTGGGCAACCTGTTGGCAACAAATGCGATTGGCGGCAAAACGTGGTTGTGGCCGAAGGACAAGATTGGTGATGGAATGGTGGCCAAAGTGAGGGTGCGTCCTCGAGGGCAACCACTGTGGAGATGGAGCAATGCAATCAGTTCATAAAGAATGGTGGCAGCATTGGAGATGGCATGAGGAGGCCTTCATCCAGCAGTGGATGATGATGATCATGATATTGATATCTCTTTTTATCATTTTGCGGTCTCACACTGGATGTGGTTTTACCTTGGCATCAACAGCTCCTGGCTTTGACTGCTGCTGATCCACCATGAAGGCAGCCATGCCCTGCAGGAGGGCCATGCCCTGAGGGACCCCGAGAATCATCCCCAGGGGTGGCCGGGGCTCCAGGGGTCCCTCGACGAGGGGCAGGCACACGAGATGCCACTCGGGGGTGGCACGCGTCACGAGCAGGGGCCACGCGCTCTGCCCGTGCACAGAGATCACCAAGCCCGCGTGGAACGAGCCAACGCCGCCGTCATCCACGTCGTCGCTGCAGCAGCAGTCCGGATCGTCGACGTCATCATCACTATCGCCACTGTGGTGGTGGTGATTGTGGGAGCGTTTATTGTTGCCGAGTAAGCGGAGGAGCTCTTCGTGTGTGGGTGCCGGAGAGTAGGAGTGTCCGTTGAGGCGCCTGGCTTGGGCCTCCACGATGGGATAGCATCTGTGTGATAACAGTCAAACACATAGGCTTTCGCGACCAATATTATTAATAATAAATGTTTTTGGGTTAGATCCTGCAGTATAAATGTGTCGTAATCGTCCACCACCCGACACAGCAAGGAAGGTTTGTCACATAAACAAAGCGCGCCAATTAGTTACTACTTCAGCCGACTGGTGGATTTACGACAACATTGTGGATTTACTTTTTGTTTACGTGACAAACCTTACCGTGTCGGGTGGTGGAGGGTTACAACACATCGATACTTACGCGATCTAACCCAAAAACCTTTGTTATGGACACAAACATGTCTCGTATACAAACATATTTAAAATGTGAAAAGGGTCAAGGTGCAGCCCCTGCAATTGCTTGCGGCATGTCGCGACTGGCGCAAGGGCCGCCAACTACAGGGAGGCCCTGGAGAGCTCCTCCAGAGGGCATTTCGTCTCCTCGTCCACACTGGCTAGAGACGTCTTAGATCAAAGACGGATCTGAAAATACATATTCTCACGACTCCCACTCGAGATCAGTCCATTGTCTGGAGATGCCACCATCGACCAGTGTGTATGATATTATACCCTTAAACATATCTATACTTTTTCCGATAAAGTCATGTAGGTAAAAAATCAAATAAAAGTGATTTAATTTAGTTGTTTTCATTAATTTTATATTTTACCTACGTGACTTTACCGAAAAAAAAAACAAAGAGTATGAATCCCTGCAGTCACGAAAGCTTAAAATCTAGAAATATCTATAGTTCAGGTACAACATCGGAGGAGCGGTGGCACAGTGGTTAGCGTACTGCACTATCAACCTGGAGACCTGCATTTGATTCCCAGTCACAGCTAACATCGTTGGCCAAGTGATAAAACATCTTAAGCTACCCACAGCGTCGCGCTTGGTGAAGTATGCTTAAACAATAAGTATTCGGATGGCCAAAGGGTTGCAAATGATCATAATTATTGATGGTGCTGCTGCGTTGGCAGTGGTGCGAAAGCACAATTAACAAAATAACACTCACTCACCAAGGGTAGGGGCTATTATTGCCCGAAACGTCGCCCAATATGTATATATTGTTATATTCTAAGGCAGTATTGTTGACAATTGTGTTCGTTTTATTTACGTATATCACGCCATGCAACTGACGTTAAACAATATCCAGCACTAATCTTCTGCTTCAGGAAAGGAAGATTAAAAAAGACATCCTGAAGCAGGAAAATAGTGCCAACCAGGGACATTAGCAAATGTGATTTGTAACTTTGATCATTACCTGTGTAGTATCGATCGTGCAATGTGAATGTGCCATTGTACCGTGTGGCGTTATACTGGCTTGGTCTGGGACTGTTCGATTGGTGCTGTATGCTGCCTTGCCCAACCTTAATACATCGCACTTATGAATACACAACGAATGCGTTAATTAGATATACTTCGTGACTTGTCCATCATTTTCTCTATTTTACACTGTCGTCTTGTTTGCTGCTGCTGTAACTCTCCGACCCCTGTACCCATCCTTGGCACACCGGTGATTTAAAAACCACCACCAACAACAACAACGAGCTTCACACATCATCGAATTCCTCCCGCAAGTCTAAAACAAAAAACAGATTCCGAGCACACAACCCAAGGAGTATCGATCGTTCACCTCGAGTATCGATCGCTCACCTCGAGTATCGAACGCGCGCCTCCTCGCCGCGCGCCGTGCGGGAGACAACCCATAGCGCCCGCACGCTCATCCTGACCACTCGCGATGTGACCACCCTCGTCACGGAGTCACCGCGGCGACGACGGCGGCGATCGTTGTCGTCCCTTGGGCAGACGTTCCCACAGAGTCGCCCCTTGGGCAGAGGTCCCCACAGAGTCGACCCTTGGGCAGACGTCCCCACAGTCGCCCCTTCGACAGACGTCCTCACAGAGTCGACCCTTCAGCAGACGTTACCACACAGAGTCGACCCTTCGGCAGACGTCTTCACGAAGTCGACCCTTCGACAGACGTCCTGCAGACGTCCACACAAAGTCGCCCCTTCGGCATCACCGGAAGTGGGGCAGTGAACCTCCCCACGTGCTCGTGACGTCAAACGCGGCACGAGCTCTCGATTGGCTGACGCGGAATTAGTTTTATTTTTACCGATTCGCAAAGCCGATTCGTCCACCGATACGATGGGTTGTTGAAAACCGGCATTTGTATTATAGTCCAACTGGCTCGTAACATGTTTGGCCACGTCACCATCCCTCCTATGAATGTTCTCCTAAATCCGGCGAAATGTTGGGATTGTTGTTTGGGGTATGGGGACCGAAAGGATTTATTCATTTTAATTTATTTTCTCTGCGATGATTTTTTTCTTATGTGTATATTTTTTCTCCTTATTTACGTTTTCATGTTTTTAATTTCTCAGTTATAGAGTTTTCTTTTTGTATTATCTGTGTACAGAACTGGATAATTGATGTACAGCGTTGTCAGATGCAATTGCATGAATGACGCTCTATAAAATGAAATTACAGTATTATCCTGGAAAGACTAAATATCCCAAATCCATAATTTCTGTCAGCTCTTCCTCTGCGACGGGAAAAAGTTGCCACGATGAAAGCGTTTGGATATCTCTCCCTTTCATCTCACCTCACAGAGTCCAAGGGGCCGTTCATAAATGACGTCACGCGATTTTGGACAATTTTTGACCCCCCTGGACATATTTCCCAGTCAGCCGAGGTCAATCAAAACTGGGCAGTGTCCCGTAACAATGTTCAACACATGCCAGTTCCCTGCCTTGGTCAAACCCAGAGAGGCGTCAAACCTAAGTGCCAAAATCCTCAGTGTTGGGACAAATACTAATTTACAGATACTTGATGAAGGTTTCCCAACGCGGTGCCATTTATTGGGGTTGTTTGACTATACTTCACCATGCTGGTCAGGGAGGGTGGCAACGGCTGGTTGTGTTTCTCCCCGCCACGATGTAGTCATATCGGAGGGTCAAACTCGCTCCACCAGGTGCATAGCTGAGTGCACTCACCACTGTGTCACATGCCAAGCGAAAACACATCTATATTTGCCAAGTCTTGTGTTTGGTTTGTTTATTACAATGTTACGATCCAACTGTCTAATTCTGCAACACGCACAATGCCAGCACGGACATTCATTTCAAAACAAAAAAAATGAACCCGTAAAAACAAAGTTTTTCACTATAAATCCTTTATATGCGTGGCATCGGTTTTATTTTATTGTTCATTTCTGTTTTTCTTGAGTAAGAGTTTCATTTTTATCACATTGGTATTTTAAATTAAAATGAAAAAAAACATTTTCCTAAAAAGTGGAAAATGTTGGAAAAAAATTTTCGCGAAAATAAATTGTCACGCACAACGAGTCTGTGTGCAAAATGTCAGCTCGATTGGATCACGGGAAGTGGGTTAAAAAACGACCGAAAGATTTGCACGGTCGTAAGCGCGCAAGCAAGCAAGTGAACTTAATATAAAGGATTTAAAAAAGTGGACACTCAACTGTTCTTTCATCACTCATCTTTATTACCAAACTGTCAACAGGTTCCAGATCACATTGACCGCGGCAGACATTTACATTAAGCGTGTGCACTCTTCATGTTGGGATTAAATACAATAAAAACATCGTGGTTCCTCAGCAGTTAGGTTTCAGGATATAAACGTTGCCGTACAGAATGTCGCCAAGAACACAAACAGGCTAAGCTTCACGTCCAATTCAGCACGACGCTTGCGCAAGACGGCTTTGGATGAGCCTAACAGTAACAATGTGCCCACAAAAGAGCTAAACATGCGAGGTCAACTGAAATTTCCTAACATGCCCATTTTAAAACACTTGTCTCCATTTGCCACTTCGCAAAGGGTCCTTCGATGTACAAAAACCATCGCTGGGTATGGCAACTACTGGAAAGGCATCCTGGGCCACCGATTAAATATTTCAATGTCAGCAAACAACCTCCATTCGCCTTGAAACTGCATAATACTCATTACCCAAATGTGTTTATTAAACAACACTTTTCGTGATACTGGGTTGGCAGCGGTGTATACGCACAACACATTCATCAATAACACCGGTGATGTTTTTGGCAATAGCCCGTTTTCTCTGCTATGAAAAAGGGCCATTACACAAAATATTACTGATTTAAAAAAAACTTTCATGGTATTTTTTATAGATGGACGTGTAGAATTGTAAATTTTTATTGGCTGCTATAGAACGGATTGTTTTCCACACTTCCAAACTTTACATTTTCCAATCTGTGTTCATGTCATTTTTGTAAACAGAAAATAACAATCGATTTTCTGGAATTCACCGAGTCAAGGACAAGAGGGCAAGAACCATTTGGCCAAAAGGTTGCCCCCCATATAAAGGTAAAGAACGCATGCAGCAGAACACTCAACCATTTAGCAAAATCAGCACACGAAACATGACAAGTCAGAGGGTCGATAACGATAAAAAAGACAAACTAAAGTGCATACCTTTAATAAGAAGGCAGCTTTACCATCTGTAGGTGTTGTTTTAAGCCCGTGATATAGTTTCTCTAAAATGCAGGGGAGCAATTTTAAACATCGGTCCACACGAGAAGCAGCTCACAATCATTAGGAACGGCGAGAAGATCCACACGATCAAGAGGGGAAGTTGTAGAAAACACGTGGAACCCTTCTGCAGTACTAGTCAAGCCATAACAGCGGTAATGTGCATGCATCCAAAGTGCATGGCGATCACACAGGGTGGTCCGTGTATCGATACCCCACGAAAATAAGGGAGGCATCAAAGAGGAAAGTATTTTAATTCAAAGCCTCGACATGTATCCCATTCTGAATACAGGTACAGGCGAGATTAACTCTCCCCCCTGTGATATAGAGCAATTGGTTCATGAATAATCAATCGCTCAGTTGATACGATGGGTTGTTGAAAAGCAGTGAGGTGTCTAAACGGCTCCGTCCGTGTGTATATTGAGCTAAATGCCATCCACGCACGCGTCTCTTTGAAGTTAACGTTGCATTGAATGAAATATTCCAAAGAGATAGCAGACATACCCTGTCAACAACTCATGCCATCAATAACAAAATGCAGTCACAATGTGGAGAAGTCAACGGACCAGGATGTATAAACCGACATAGTTTTGGCATGGCACTGTTTGCTGGTAAAACTTGAACAGTTTTTGATTACGGTTGAAAACCATGAAAATAGCCCTGATGTTCAGACATGTAGTACTGTGTACACATATACACACACACACAATCAAGGACCCACTGCACAGTATTGGTCACTCCTACCCATACATATATACAAATAGAAGTACTGTACCAAATTTGGACTTTCACTGCATTTGATCCGAAATATTATTAAATGCCCTGCATAAAGAAAAAACAAAATCACTCTTAGATTGTCACATTAAATCAGTCCACATCGACGTTGCTGCCAAACAGTCAAGGAATTGTTTTCTTTTTAAATTACAAAATTACAATACTGAAATTAATTTACAAAATGTACACCACACACACACAACAAAATCATTGTTACAAAAACGGTAAACAAAAGTGATGCGTTAACCAAGTCAGGGTGATTCATACCTAAGTCTCAAGTTGCACAGAAAGTGCTGGAGCCGTTTCATTTCCCGACCAAATTTCCTTGGCGCATGTAAACCCCGGTAATTCCACAAGGTACCGTACTCTGGGGCTAGCAATGGTCTACTCGAAAATTACCTTGCAATCGACAACGCTTTACAAACCACGGATATTAAAAGAGCACCAGCGGGCAGCCTCCAAATGTACGAGGCCGACGAGGGTACGTGCGCCTGATATATTTTGAGCGCGCATGCAGATATAATAAAAACAACAGTCACAATCACTGCAATGTACAATACGTTGAAACGAACGGGCTAGTTTATTAACTCCCCCCCCCCATACTCCTTACAAACGGGTACACCACGTGCCAGCACGAACAGGTCTGCCACAGAACGTCGAACGACAGGTTGCACGTGGTGGGGTAAAGTCTGGCCAACGTGGAAGAGTAGGCCAAATACCCCCTGGAGGCGGCTCTCCAGAGCTCACTCAAGTGGAGGCCTTCCATCGGTGGGTGACATGAGCAAGAAATGACCTTCAGTTTTTTTTTTTTCAAGAAGGAAAGGAACAAGGCGATGGGTGATGGACTGGGCTTCAGAAAATAATGAGCAGGACTCAGATTGTTTGGCGGGGATAAGCCTGGGAAAGCAGCGATTAAGGGACCCTTACGATTGAATCACAACGCTCCCCTGCCTTTACAAAACACCCCCCCCCCCCATGTACCATCAGCACCCCAACAATAACAAAGTGAGTTGAAGGTCAAACGTCGACCATCTCTATATTTTCACAGTGTAACTTATAGCTGGTGAATACTCGGTTATTAAATAAATAAACAAAATATATAATATGCAAGGACCTTTTCGATAATAGAGACACTGCGTATTGAATCAGTGCAGTTTTTGCCTGCTTAGAGAGAGTATATGTTGCATAATCAAAGTCGAGGAATCCAGAGACGTGCAATGGTTTTCAAATCTTGCCACACCACAAAATGTGGAACGGAAGATCCACTTGCAAATAAGAGGCTGTACGTGGTGGACTCTATATATTTTAGTACAAAAGCTTTCCAGGACACGCACGGAGTTGAATTTGGTCCTTTTGGCACTTCACCAAAATGTTACTTAACACCGAAACCCCACAAAAACGAAGAAATGTTTTCACCAAAATACGAATGATATGGCTTCACTGAAAGATCCGATTTGTTTTTGAACTGTGGTGTTGTCATTAAAGCAAAGGCACGAGCCACGGTATCTTGTAAGGTCAGCCTCACTTGGCCGCTCTGATCTGTTGGTGTTGTTTTTCGTCCTGTGTACCTACCCGGCCAAGAAACCTCAACCCATTCATCAATAACACCGTGGTCTTCATAGGGAAAAGGAGAATGACTGGCTCATGTTTTTGAGCAATGGCCCTTCTGCATAGAACACCACTTCTGTGACCTCTCTCCGTGCTTCGAAGGAGGGCCATTGCATGAAACGTCACTGATTATATACTTTATTTTTGTTATTTATCCTTGTGCACCACTACCCAATAAGGCAGCATCAGCATCACCAAATGATTTGTCTACTCAATCAAGGTTGCATAAAGGACAGCCAGCAAAGCAAAAGAAGAGATTCATAGCTCATCGGATTCCTGCAGTTTAAAGCAAGATTCTGATTCTTAAAAACAAACCGCAAACTGGCACTTCCTTGCATGGCTGAAACAAAGAGTGACTGCCCCAATGCTGCTCATGGCATAAAACAGAGTGATGTGGATGCAGCACCACCTATAATAATAATATACAGCATACTAGTCCATGCCTTAGAACATGGTCACAATACTCCAGGTAATTACTTTCATCAACTTTATGTTGCCAACTTTTGAAAGTCCAAATTATTTATATTCTGGACTAAAAAGGTAAGAGAATGCCGATTAGTACAAAAACAGATCGTGTTATTTGTAGAAATATTACATATATTTGTTTCGGCGTGTTTACTGTAATATAACAGCATTATTGTGCTCAAACTATAAAATAAAACATTTGCAAACATCCTCTTTGTTAACTTAAAACGCAGGGGTAGTTACTGTATGTCGTCATGCTGGAGGGTTAATGACAAGAAGTTTGGATTAAAATCACTGCGTGGCCTAAGCCAAGAACAAATATTGAGAACTGCATTGTTGTTAATACACCACGTGATACACCGTTGGTGAGGTCACGACATGGAAATGTGAACATTTGAATCGCAAGTGAATGTGCTACCCCAGGGGCCGGCAACCTACGGCTCTTTTAGAACTGCTTCGTGACGTTATTTAATAAGGACCACCTTCCAGTGTTCACATGCATTGCGACTCTTGAAATATTGAGTTATTTAGCGAATTCGAAAAAAATTGCTATACTTGTTATTTTGGTTGCCTACCCCTGTGCTACCCTCTAAGATATACATATTTGTTTGTCTTGAATTTTACAAATGGAAATGCTTGTGTTGTAAAATATGGCCACTCTGCACTTGTGGCAGGTAAGTAATGAACTCTATTAGGCAATGTTCCATCTCATCTTTTTGGGGTCTGATTTGAAGGAAATGCACATGATTACATGGTAAATCTGAGAAAATTATAAGATTTTAACATTGTTTCAGCCGTCTCCCTAACGCCTATCAAAACAGTATGTGCAAGAGCACACTTCTAGTTGAAGTTTTTTTAAACACTTTATGTATGCATGGTGAACAATTTTGATGTATCCCTTTAAGTAATTCAACTGCATAGGTATTCGCGGATGCGAGGGACAGTTCTCCGATGCGTATTCGGGTCGTACCGCATGTTGTTCGGCACAATGTCCGACGCTTGGCTCCACATACTGGGAGCCTTTTTGGGAAATGATGAACCCAAGTAGCTCCCAGCACTCGCAGCGAACACGTCGGGCATCGTGCCCTAACAACACAATGCGGTACACGTATGTATGTTGAACTTCAGTTTGCACCGTACGCAGCCAACGGTGCTGATTGAAGGTGCGGGACAAACCCGAAACCACTTCAGAGTCCCTTAATTTATTTGTTATTCACAAGCAGAATGAAAAGATGTGGTGGCAATAATGTTCTGTACTGCGAAAAGTAAGGTCATGCATGGTGAGACCATTTACACTGCCTTTCCACAATCGATGGGCATGCATACCCAATGAAAACAGCAAGATTCTTGTCAGTAGATGAAGTTTATCACACCTTTAATCCTTCAAATGTCCTATCAATAACTCACAGAGATATGTCGAGGATGACTCTCCATTGCCTGTTTTTTGTTTAAGCCAGCGCTTCCATTTTGATAATTATCTAAAATGTTACCAAAGTTTTAAGGCAAATGGCAAAGTTCGCCTGCTATGCTGTATAGACAAACGTTATCTCCAATCGCTTTGAGTCTCAACTCCGATGCCATTTCACACGAAGCTGAAACACAGCTCAGCGTACGATGTCCTTTACGAAAAATGTCGATTATCTTTAATTTCGGGCATGCATAATCACGCGCACACCAGCGGTGCCCAAATCGAAAAGGTGTCTCCCTGCGACCGGAGTTTCACTGGGCACTCACCTGCCTCATAAATACAGCTTTCAAAACGAAGAGTTAATTAATTACAGCACGGCAATTTGTTTTGACGGTCTCCAGGGTCTCCCTTGCATCTGGAACAACACGTGGAAGTCTCGCCGGGCCATCACAGTTTCACAACGTACGATCGAACGAACAAACGAAAATGAAACCAAGGCTGCTTTCCCCTTGGCCGGCGCATTAACAAATCAGCGACTGGGAAAATCGTTTTGGGCGACGGACGGCGTTAGATGGTCATGTGGAACGAGTCTGTGAGCCACGCCCCCCGGAGCCCCATCGCCGACGACGAGAATCCGGAGTGCGCAGCCGGCGACGAAGGAGGCGTCATCGCCGACGTCGCAGCGCCGGACGAGGAGGGGGACGGGCGGGAGAGGGAGCCGCGTGGCGACGGCCGGTCCAGCTCGAAGTCGTCGTCGAAGCAGCCGTTCATGTCGAGCGAGGAGAGCGGCGCGTCGGGTGTGGAGGCCGGGCCGCACGGCCCCAGGTCCTGCACCAGCCCCTTGTACTCCTGGATGCCTTCGTGCAGTGACCACAGCTGGCACAGCAGGGACATGTCCAGCTGGCGCAGGCCCAGCTGTGCAGGGGGACACAGTCGGGACGGGGTTAATGGCTCACGGTCTCAGTGGAGTTTCACTAAAATACATTGATGTCAAATTGCCAATGGCTGTTAAACGAGGCGAGTAAGCGGACAACGCTTCCTTCAATTCAATAAAAGCGTTTAGCACACATCCCATCAGCCAGCACGGCCTTATGGGAGTACAGAATGTTCAGCAGCATTGGTTTGAGCCAGTGGTGGTGAACTTCCAGATGTACACAGCATAGGCAAATTCCTGTAGAGTACAGTCAAAATAATCATCAGCCATGATTCATCCGCTGCTAGATTTGGTCTGCTTGAGTCGTCGCCATCTCTCACGGTCTCATGTAAGTGTGTACTGTATGTTTAATTTATTTTGCACCGTACGTAGCCAACCACACGAATCAAGAGGTGCGGGTGAAGGACAAGAAACTTAACACAAAAAGCAGTTGTAAACAAACTAGTTTTCAATCTAGGTGATTTAAAAGTTCATAGCTCCCTGCGGCTTCCTAATATCGGAAGAAAGAACGTTCCAGACGGCCGCAGGAGCGCATCTGAAAGTGCGCGATGCATTGCCCGTCTTTGTTTGATTGGCTAGCCAAAAACCGCTACTGCTGCGAGGAGTGGCCGTCTGGAACTCTCTTCCTTCTGATATTAGGAAGCCACTGGAGCTATGCACTTCTAAATCATCTAGATTGAAAACGAATTTCTGTGCTTAATTTGTTACAACAATCCGTTGAGCTCCTTCACAGGAGCGGATTTGAGCATGGAGAGGGTGCATGCTTGGATTTACACCGAGACAGGTCGAGGAGAACGAAGGACTAGAGAACGTGCACACGGAAGCGACATCATATGTTGGTTGTTAAGACAACTGCGTGGAAATGAGCAGAACACATCGCTAGAAGGGATGACGGACGGGCCAGTGGTTGAGACTAACAAGACGACGTCCATCACGGAGCACAGTACAAGCTATTCGGTTCCCGCTGCGGCAGTTTTGCAAAAGAAAAAACACGTGTTTGGGTGACCGTCTGACCCCCCACGAATGCCTCTCCACCCACACTGTGAAAACTCATTCCACTTCGGTGAGGACAATCCCCACATTAACTTCTGGAATTTAAATGTTTACAAAAAAATTCCAACGACTCATTGCACCTCAATGAGTCCATCATACCCACTTGAATCTGACATGATCTGCCGCTCAACCCTATCTGTAACAAGATACTCTGTAGATGTGCACAGCCCTCTTGCCAAGCCACTGCTGGATGAGGGGCTCCGAACATGGGGGTGGTTCCTTGAGGATACTTCACTAAACTTCAATAACTCCTGAGGAAGGACAGTCAGCCCGATTTCCACTCGGCAACATGAAATCTATTTTAAAAAATTTAGTTAACATGTCATTTACTGTACATTAGAGCAGCATGCTCCGCATTCCAATTTCTTCACTGACCCAGGAAATTCTTCCCGAGTTTCAGGACTTTTTTTTTCGAGTGAGGTCACGCTTTGGTATACAGTATTTCAAATCAAACCGGGCGATTGAATTTCTTGCATGCAGCAGACGGGAGCTTCTGCTGAACAAAAAATACGAAATGCTCAACGACGTCGTTGAGCATCGGTGCTGGGCCGCGCGCACGGGGAAAGTCTCCCGATTCGGTAGCGGGGAAGAAGCGAAACCTGCAGCGGGCATCGTTCGGTTTAAGCAAAGACTTTGAAACTCAACAAGGCGCAGTTTGGCAGGGCGCACCTCGAGGCCTCCGTACACTGTAGCGTGCAGAGTGGCGCCCGTCGGGTGACACTTTCCATTTTGTTTCCCGAGAAAATTGCCATAATACAGAAAAGTGGAGGGAAAGCCATTTGAAGTCAAGAGAGGCCCGACATGTATGTGTGTGTCATACATTAATCTCACTTCCACTCCTGCCTGCACTTGTCTGGTTTCTCTCAACCACCTTGACCTAGTACCGCTTAAAACGAAAACAACAATGATCTCGCCGATATGACGCTGTGCGTGACGTGCCTCGCGACTTATGAAGCGAAGTAAAATCCTCAATGTACCCATAAGAATTTCTACCGAATCCTACAAATCCTCAGAATCCGGTATAAGTTACGCGCCGCCGTCTGTTCCCGGAGACAGACCAGGCGGCGTAATTGTGTTGGCACATGTTCCCATAAAGAGAGGAGTGTTGTAAACCCTGCTCTGCGTGGTGTGTGTATATCTGAAGCACTTCTTGCACAACTACTTTTTGCACAACTACTGTTTGCCGTAACAATTAAAACCGTAAGCTCGAGTGAATGCGTTTAACTGCGGCGCGTTTGTAATCATCGAAAGTGCCGAAATTAAATACCGTATTTCATTACATTAATTCGACCGAATTGTTACATTAAGGTGCCACTTCACTGATTGAGGATGTACATTTCAGGTGCTTGAAAGAAGTGCCGGTAATCGTGAGAGCAACCGTGAAGTGATTTTTTTTTAACTCGGGCACAGCATGTCAACCAATTAGTGCTGCCATTCAGAGAGGAATCATTTTGTCCACCTTTCTTCTTGACAAGGCAGAGACTGGCCCATAAAACACCACCGCGAGTTGCCACCTTGAGTGAGCGCGTGTGGGCTCTCATCATTGCCACCAGATGTCGGTACAAATCAATTCCTGCCACCTGAACACATATGCCGATTCCCAGGCTGTGCAGGTCAATTCCAGGAAAGTGGAAAACTCTTAAGAGGATATTTATATCGTGGAATATTTTCGATTTCTCAAATGACGCAGTTTTTTTTTACCTCTTATTTCTATTTGTTTCATTACTGTGCTTTATTTATTTCTTTTTGTAATTTTGGTGGCCCGAGTTACAAATGAGGCTCATGGCTGGTTTCTTGAGATCTCTCTCACCTGGTTACACAAAATCAACTTGAAACTTGAGAGTGGATATTTGGACTGGTTCAGATTTCACTAGATAATAATATCAGGCATAGCCGGGGAATCAAACTCAGGTCACTCGTTTCAGGACGCATTGCGCCAACCACCGCCACAGTATTTCAACAACAATATAATTAAAGGTTTTCATACGGTGCATATAATTTTAGCAAACAAGGCTATTACTCTACCCTGATAGCCATGGATGCTATTAATACCAGTCTGTTGGCTAATTGGGAAGGAAACAAGTTCATGGTCACAATAAATCGTAGGAAAAAAACTAATTTAAACACTAAACATTTACAGCCAGCCACCATCTCTGCATGGGCCCGCAAGCATATGCAATTGACTCCACACAAATTAGAGATGCTCACAACGTGTGCTTTAAGCCAAATGAAATTAGCTAAATTGAGCATGCGTAGAGCCGTTCGACCATCTGTTATCGTCGGACATGGCCACGGCCATTCAAGCTCCAAGCAACAGATTCTATGACGGCATGCAGTATACACTGGTTAGCGTGCGGTGCTATGAATCTGCCAGCCTGATTTGATTAACAGAAACGGCTAACATCAGTGGCGAGTGATATCTGAAACGGTGCTGCCCTCTCCCCTCCGTCACCGTTTCGCTACGACCATCGACGTTAAATATGGTCAAAAGGCCCAAATGACCAAAATGTAACGGTGAGGCCAACATCCAGCGGTGGATTGAGAATGGCTGGAATGTATTTTTATTTTATCCTTCGCTACGCGACGTACGTCCTGCATAAATATCGCCGGGCAAAACCAAACAAATATTTAATTCCAAACAAGATGACCTTGTAGCCCATACACAGCGGAAATGCCTCGGATATTCGAGCCGCATAAAACGAGTGAGATAAATGTACAATGCGATACGGTTTATTTGTTCATGGAAGATAGATAGGATGGGCAGAGGGAAGGAAGGAGGATGAGGGGGGGGGGCCTGTTAGCCCGGAGGCTGGGTTACACGGGAAATTGCAGATTATGCCGAGTATAGCTCCTCACAGATTACAGCGGACTTCCCCTTACCCACAAACTTGAATGTTTTTAATTGAAACGTGCACAGTGTTCGCAGTAGCACATATTGGGTGGAAAATCCATTATACCCGGGATGCAAACACGCATCGTGCATATGATGCGAGTAAAAATTAAGCATTTATTGTACATATCCGCAATATTACCCACAAATTTGCTCCAATTATAATCCGCAAAAAATTGCAGATAGTCGCGGATCAACGTGAGAATAGGGCATGGCACGGATAACCGGGAGCTGTTGCCGACCCTGCAGCTCCCCCGGATAACAAGAGTTGTGGATAAGAGGAGTTGTATTGTAAATATATGTGCCCCTCTTCAGTGCCGCGCTGGCGGAGGCGACGCACCACGGGGTCACGTCCTGTAATTGAAACACGACCGCCGGCGAGCCAGACGCGCGCCCACACAGCCATGTCAGCGGCGATGGCTTCTTGCGGTTGCGGGCAGGGCAAGGGTGGTGGGGGGGTGAATGTTGTGAGATGGGGTAGGGACAGGACGTGAGTGGGGGGGTGGATCGCGTGATGTGGCAGCTGGGCACAGATGCGGGTCAGATAACAGGGCCAAACAAGAAAACCATTTACTGCATGTGTTTATAGTGCAAACAACTGGCAGCTACCACATGGCAGAGGAACCCAAGTTCCGCCACCGTTCCGGCTCTGCAGGAACAAGCTCACCCGGCAGCCAAGTTAGCCGGGCCCAGAAGCAACTCCTGCCAACGCAATGCCACATCTTTGCTGTGTATCCTGGATACAAATTCGAAACTAATAAAGTAATAAAATAACCCATTTATTCTCCGTTCCTCTCTCTCTCCTTCTAATAGACAAGTTGACTGTCAAGAAAGGAAAGCGGGCTTGGGTAGGGCAAGAGACGGAGGATGGGGTGGGCAGCCCAAGGAGGGAAACAGATTTTAGCGGTCCTCCGTGGTGGAGTGGCGGAGTGGATTGGTCACGGCTACCCAGTAAACATGGAACGCTGGGCCAACGTTGGGCCAACGTCGGGAAAACGATAGTCCAACGGTTCCAACTACACGCCAACGTTGGCCCAACGTTACATGCTTACCAGGTTTACGATGATAAATTAAAACCAACATTTCTGCAGATCAGTAAACGGTACTGTTTGAAGTTGTACGTACATCTGTCAACTGAATGTTAATCAATTTGATCTGGCACATTCATTGTTTGGAAAATGACACCAAATAGGTGGTATCTTAAAAATAGCGATGTAACAATTCATTGAGTAGAATCAACAGCTATGGTCACGTTACAAACATTACAATTATGTCTAAGAAGCAAACGTATGCTTTATGAAAACTAGATGCAAAATTAATCGAATGTACCCTTGAGCTAATAAGAACGAGAGAACACACGAGACATGCAGTACTAATGGTAAATACGGCACAAACAATACCAATACATTTTTTTTGGTAAAGTTTAATTAAAGCTCGACTCCAAATCAAGATATTTAATTTAATAACATGTTTCTCTCGCTTTACGCAGGTTCAGCTTGTGCGATTTCTATCCAAACTTCTATCAACGCAGTTTGAAATTCACTCTTACGCGGCTGGGCGGTCGTACGTTGGACACCACTGTGTGTGTACTGCGTGCGCCACGCTGACTCGCCCCGACTGGACATCTGTGAAAAAAATGCTTCGTAGCTCATCGGATTCCTCCTGCAGCCCAAATAAAAATTGCGATTCTGGCGGGCAGTCGTCTCGTGCGCCATTCTTGTTTAATCGCGTAAAGCGCGGGGAAACTGGTACCAGGACATCGAATTATTGCACGCACAATTAAAATGCGCAAGCAAGCGTGTCTCGGTTTAATGCCTGCCAATAGTCCGAGACAGATGGAAACAGATGGAGATCAATCCACTTGCTCTTCTGTCCTCTCCTGGCGAGCCAGGGTATGGTGACATCGATGGCCAAAGGGGAGTTGTGGCATGACATTTGTGCGATCCGCCAAACTCTCGCTGCCACGGTGCCGGGCTATCGGCACGCCGCGCCGCCTACGACAAGCCAACGAAATAAAAACGAAGCCACTGTGCCGACGGAGGACGGGGACACTGTACGCGTTGGGGAGAGATTTCCCTAAAACAGACCCCCCCCCCCTAGCCACGAATTGGCGTTGTGAAACCGACACACGAAGACGTCGACACGACCGACGGCGTTCACAGCCTCTTGGACGTGGGACTTTTCTGCCTTATTAAACCATTACCATTCACACCACCACCACCAAATGACCTCCGACGTTTTTTTTTACTCACGAAATGACAAGGGCTGCGCACTTACAGCCAAGACTGCAGCGCCACGACACCGACATTACCAGCGGAAGAATTTAAAATAGACTACATTACTTTTTTATGCAACATATTTGCTAACGTGTCATCTATATTTAAGAGATATGATATTACCTTGGAATATGTGAACGTAAATTAAGTCACCACTATTATTATCACCGCGTCCTTTATCGCCTCGGGAAAGCCTCGCCGAGCCTCAACTCTTTTTTCAGGAGGGTATTGCTAAATTCTGGATAAAGCTACAGATCGATGTTGACATAAAAGGACATGGAAGATGAAAACAAGCAACAGATATTGCACACTGTGGCACAAAACAGCGGTGCTTATTGCAAGTAAAAAAATGCGTCATATTTCTAAACTTTATTGCCTCCCTTGTGAAATAGTCTGATCTCATTGGGCTCTTGCATGGTGACAGCCTTCGTGCATGTGCGTAGGGTCCGCTTGCGTACGCCTGTGTGTAGGTGAAGCGGTGGTGTAGTGGTTAACACACAGCACTGCCAACCCCCGTGACCCGAGTTCTTTCCCCGCTCACGACGAACATCGGTGGGAAACATGGGAACAGAATGCTGGGCTTTCTCTCACGCAACTCGGCCTTGAACGAGTGCCTGGACCGGTGCGTAAACATCAGCGGTGCGAGCCACGCCATCGCTTCTTGAACCGTGCCGGCGTTCATTCGGTCCTCGCCGACAGCACTTGCCCCAACAATGTGCCGAGGCCACGGCGGGAGATCTTTGTCTGTAACACCTTCGCCTCCGCGTGGGAACGGGCAGAGTGCTATTATCTTCGCAGTCTCTTATATCGCGCAGAGTGACGACAAAAAGAAATCTAGCGCTGGCCAAAAGTTAACCAGACATTGCCAAAGCAAGCAAAAGCCCCCCCCCCCGCCCCCACACATTTCTACAGGTGTCACGGTTTTTTCTCTCCAAACAATTAACTGAAGACGATGTACACCACCATCCCTACACCAGTGTCAATGCGTCCGAGGCAGACAAAGCGTTTACAGGTGCATGCGCGCACGCGCTTCCTCGGGCGCTCCGTCTGGGTCTTGTTCCCCGCCGTGCGCACCGCCGCGAGTCGAAGGAGACCGTTCTAAATCACCGACGATCTCTAGGACGCTGCGGCGGCTTTAAAAGGCGATTATTTCGAGACTATTCGAACACAGCCCCGTGGCGCATACACGACAATGCGGTTATTGTTCGTGTGGAGAGGCCGATGTGGAAAGTGCGAATGTCCTCGAGCTGTCCCGGCTGTAACAAGAGGCTTGAATCCGGCACCCTCCCCCCACCCCTGAGATACGCGATGCCATCTGTCACCTCCGGGTTTCCCGCAGCCCCCAACCGAACCCCCACCAACCACGGGCCAAGCAAAACCCATAAAGTGGCGTCTTCTTCGTCTTTTTCTTCTCGCGCAGCTCGTAAATCAAGTCGCAAAAACCACCGCCAACTTTTCAAACGGTACTGACAATAGGTCGGACGGACGACGGACGGGACAATTAAAAGTGTGTTTTGTTGTTTTTGTTTCGGGACAAATGAAAGGAACCGCAGAGAGAGAAAGTCCGAACAGAGAATGGGCTTGACGACATAAGAGACCGGTGCCAAAAAGATGTTGCACACTACTTGAGCATATTTCGCGCTACAACACAGAGGAAAGTGGACAAACAACAAAAGACTCAAACGTGCAGCGGTCACCCACTAACGGGGCTATCTGCCCCAAGGATTGTGACGGCGGTTGATGGCGATCCACACACGGGCGCACCATCCACCAACCGGGATGATCAGGGGGGCTGTTTTGTTGCCGCGCTCGCTACTGTACATCCCCTAATCGGTTGACCCGCGCGGCAGCTGTTGGCCTCTCACCACGCCGAGCACCCTGCAACGTCGGCGGCCTTCTGCCAATTGCGCTGCTGAATTATTCAGTCACACGCTCGCACGCTCGGCCACGTGCACGCGACGGTCTCTGCAATTAAAGATCAGTACCTGCGTACGAATAGGAGGGCGATTTTATTACGCACAATGGCGAATACAACGGTCTTACGTTGCGCGTTGGCGTGGCGCGTATGCACGTAAGAACGCGTTCGAGGCATTATAGCGATTGTCGGATTATTCTGAAAATCCTGGTCGTGCCAATTATATTTCCGATGATCCGAAATTGTGATGTCACCGAGAGTGACATCACTTTCATGGTGTCGCATCTGTGCCTTTCCAGCCAAAAGTGGCGTCACATGATGTCACTTTTTCCTAAATTAAAATTAAAAAATATTGTTTTTCTGTTGGATCTCTACATCAAGATATAAATGTCGGGGATAAATATGAAGTTATTACATTTAGTGCATAGAGAACAAAAATTAACAGCATTTAATCAGTTTAAATACCAAAATATGAAAACATGCAATGAATCCGAAATTTGGCCTTAAAACCGCAGCATGTCACATGACATCCGGTGACATCACTTTTGTTAGCACGGAGTCGCATTCCATTATCACGTAATGGGAATCATCCAAACGCCTGAGAGCCGAGTGAATGCATTATAAGGTCATCGCGCTCATTACACACAAAGTGCTTGCCACAATCAACCACAATATTTTGCTGATCTCGTCAAGGAGTATAAACCATCACGCGAACTCCGCTCATCCTCACAGCAAGCAGCTTTTGGCTAACCATCGATCAAAGATGGTCACCGCACCGCGCGCTTTAAGGTGTGCTTCAACGACCGCCTGAAATGTTCTTCCTTCTGATATTAGGAAGCCACTGAAGCTACGCAATTTTAAATCATCTAGATTGAAAACTCAATTTGTTAGAACTCCTTTTTATGTTTAGTTTCTTGTCCTTCCCCGACGCCTCTGATTTGCACGGTTGGCTATGTACGGTACAAAAGAAGTTCAACACACGTACATACAAAGCAATCCAAACAAGTGCTGAACAAATCAAAAGGACGCGAAATTGGAAACCGATCCCCCGCGTACATACCATCTCCTTGCGGAGCAGAGCCAGCGCCAACTCCATGTTGCCGGGACGTCCGGCGAGCAGGCGAGAGTCTCCCGCGGTGCCGCCCCCGCCGCCCCCGCCGCCACGCCGGGCCCGGCTCAGGTCGTCCTGGATCATGGAGCGCTTGGTGCACATGCGCTCGAGGTCACGCCACGAGCCCCCGCTCGAGTTGAGGAGGCCGCTGAGGCTCTTGGGCAGCGGGGGCAGCCCGTCGAGGCGGGCTGGCACCATCAGCTGCGGCCGGGTGCTGCGTCCGTTCATGGTGCCGCCCGGCCCTGCGGGTAGGGGCCCGCAATGTGCCCGAGTCTGCGCCCCCAGCACCACTCTGTCGAGGGAGAGGACGCGGCGCGTTGTTTTTAACACGTCGCGCAGAACGCTCGCGAGCATCGTCAGCCACACAACGGGCCGGACGCAGCGCGCCTTGAGGCTCAAGCGAGCCTCTCCTCGGGGTTAACCAGGTTGTACCGCGGGGGGCTTTTTCTTTTGGTCCGACGTTTCGCTCCACCTGCTCGGAGCTTCTTCGCAGGCTGAAATGTCGGACACCGCGCCCAACAACAAGCGGTAACAACCCCAAAACGATATTTAAGAGCTCTAGCGCACAACCGCGGAAACCTCTGGAGGTATAGGGCGGTATTGTTATAGAAGTGACTAACGATTTGTGCACGTACATATACAGTCCTGTTGTCAATGTACAGCTGAATGAAGACTTCCCCACACCGTGTGGATTATGGGAGTTATTTGACCATACTTCACTATACTGGTCAGCGCGAATTGGCAGAGTGCACAAACTTAGGAACACAGTACCGTACAACAATGTCATCTGCTGCACTGTCCTCTGGTGACAATGTAGTCCTGCAAAGGAGTGTGCTGCGGCATAGAGGTGTAACATGTCACTGGACGAGAAAATGTTGGATAACACTCATCACCTTTGGGGGTCCCGAACCAGAATTGGTAATTCCACGTGCACATGGCCAGAGATAATATCCTAGGGAACATGCAACGTTGAGCCAACATTGGTCCAACCACATGCCATGGTTGACCCAACGTTGCACGTTTACTGTGACATCAACAAGCCTCGTGGCTGTTGTTACGTATCAAATGGGAGCGATGGTTCACGCCTGTAATCCAGCACTTTGGAGGCAAGTGTTATTGGGTCTGAAGAGATTTTGTGAGAATACTAAGCCTGCTAGGCTCAGCCGTGGCCAGAAAGACATCGGTACAGTGGACCAGCCTAGGCGGAGCTTTGAGTGTTGGGATTACCACCCTATGTGTGTGTGGGGTTTCTCCAGGTACCCTTTGGTTTCCTACCAAATGCCAAATAACCTAATATGCAGGATCCTCCTGAGAAACGGCGTGTTGAGACTCAGGAGGCGCTGATCTGGATTAAAGGACATTTTTGCTCCGTAATTAACATAACTGGTCTGATTCGCTCACAAGTGACGATATCACATTAATCCCTCGATTTAAGAAGGAAACTGGAGGATTGCACCACAAATCTGACTGTCGCCTGACTGATGCTAGAAGTAATTACTGGCGAAACATCATACTCGAATTGTAAATGTTGTGGATTTACTCACCAACACACCGGTGTGCTGTACTAGTGACGAATTGGCCTCGTTCTGTTTACGTGACGAACCTTACCAGTTGGCTGTTGTGTGGTGGCGGGTTTATCGACACATTCATATTTACGCGATCCAACTCAAAAACCTCTTATGGGTGACTGATTTGCCAAGGCAGAAAAATACAATCCTTATGCTGGATGTCAATAAAGGTAAGTTTAATTGCCGTATTGATTGGCAAATGTCTGTATGATGTAATTAAAAATACAGAACTGTATATGCAAAAAAAAACTGTTAAAGCAAATGATCGGCAAGTCGCGTGTGATGAGATAAATTGTTACCCACGCTTCATCCAAGACTTCTGGCCAGTGTGGACGTGTAGGCAAACATACCACGCTAAGAATCTTGATTTAAATTTCGATTTAAAGCTTTCGTGACTGCAGGGATTCATCTTCTTGGTTCTTTCGGTAAAGTCACGTAGAAACGTGACGGTAAAAAAGAAAAAAAAAACGGTAAAGTCACGTAGAAACGTGACTTTCTACGTGACTTTACCGAAAGAACCAAGAAGATGAATCTTGATTTAGTTTGGAGGAATCCGACGAACTTCAAAACTCTTGTTCGCAGATGTCCAGGGGTTCTCTCGAGTCTGGAGAGTGACCGTCCGATGGACTAGGAACATTTGTTGTATTTTGTGCTGAACAACTCCAGGGCTCAAAAGTGCATTTTACCCACGACAATAATCATCCAAGGACAATCTTTGCAGAGAGAGAGAGAGAAAGGATGGGGGTAGGAGAGAAAAAGTTGAGTGAGTAGAGAGGGGAGAGAGAGTGAGAGAGTGGAGTAAGATAGATCGAGAGAGAGGGGGGAGATAGTGAGAGATATAGAGTGGAGTAAGAGATAGGGGAGCGAGAGAGAGGGGGGGGGGGAAGAATAAGAAGAGATTTTAGATGAACGAAGCAAAGTGCCGACTACACCGAGCATCTTAAAGAGAAGAAAAAAAAAGAAAAAGACAAAAAAGGGAGAGAGAGAAAGCCTCGAATCTTGGGATGGTGGTAAAGGCACAAGGCACTATGCCCCATATGTACGCCGAATCCAACTGGCCGCATTCACCTGCAGTTTAACCACATTGCAAAGCTGACCCTTTGTGTTCACGTCCCTTTGTCTCCATTGTGCACAGCAGCTGTCTGCAGCCTGCAGCCAAATGCTCGTCGACTCTATACAGTTCGGCTTTATACCAGCAGCTATATCACAGTCGTCGCCTATGGACCACACACAACCACGCTCTCCTACCCCATGACCTTATATGACCATGCCATGCGGTGAACCCTATAACATTTGTACGAATGCACGGCGCGCGAGTAAATGGTAACGGCGTAGCCCTGCAATTGCTTGCTCACGATCACTGCTGGCGGAAGGGTCTCCACTACAGGGAGCTCTGAAGAGCCGCTCTCGAGGGTATTTGGCCTACTCTTCCACACGCATGTACACATCCTAATAAAGCGCCCAACCGGGTTACAATGTTGTATGGCGGTGTAGGGGTGGAGTGGTGGTGCAGTGGTTAGCACACAACGGTAATTGGCGAGCGACGTACGAAACAGTCCTGGGTCACCCCCTTCACCAATCCGCATCGCCCAGCGTGGTGAAGTATGGTGAAACCACTCCCATGAACATTACAGCATGGGGGGACCTTCATCCAGCAGAGGATTGACAAAGGTCTGCACATCATTATTGTTGTTATAACTACTGCAATACGACCGGAGCGCGTATGTTTTCCTATTCACATTTAATCGCATGGAACACGATACATCGGTAAAAACAGCATCGGCTTATCTGACAGCCATGTAGTTATTAAGCAATATTTAAGTAACCGCTTTACTGTAATTTAATACCCTCTCTGGACTTACTTCCTTCCCCTCTACCTCCCTCGTCTCATGTAGCTCTATTCCTCTCTCTCTCTCTCTGCGTTCTGCTCCAGCAAACCAAGCCCTTGCGTCCGAGACTCCAGGCAACCTCTGCTGAATGGGAGGTTGCCCCTTCTCTGCTGCTCTCTCTCGAAGACTGAAATTTCAGCTCGCTGGTTGCCAGGGCTGTTGAGACCCTCCCCAGTGTCCAATTCTGGCTGAAAATCATCATCATAATCATCTTCTTCTTCGCTTCCTTTGACTCTCCATCCGTGCTGCGTGCTTTCATTCAAACATCGAGTTATCACTAATTGCACTCATCGCACTTTCTCGTATCTCATCCCTTATTCCTTGGCCTCCAAAATACAAAATATTATTTTTAAATCCCTCCGAGTCAAACTCCGTTAAGATTAGCGTAATTGATGCAGAGCATCAATTATGTCCATACACACATTTACACAAATTGTGAATTGTTTATTATTGTAATGAAATCGGGGGACGAATGTCCCCCCCTGCTTATAAACATCAATCTCCAAATAAACAGCAATGCTCGGACATTCTGCAACGTGAAAGCATTAAACTATAATAGAGTAGCACAGAGTAATGAATGCATTTGATCTCCGAAGCAGAGTAATGTGCACGTGAGGTGGCCAGGAATTGGACCATATATGGTGCTACAGCGGTGGATTGTTTAATTTATTGCCGTGTGGAACTTTTGAGCGTTACCCAACCATACGTGTGGGTCATCCCCAGGCTCTCTGGTTTCTTTCACTTGACACTCATTCAAAGAATGTGCTCCATATCACAATGTGGCAGGACTCTCCTGGAAAAGTGTCTTGAGATTCAGGGAGGCTTTCTTTGCAAAAATAATGGACATTATTATAAGTGATATAATCAGCAATTACCCATCAACTTATGGATGATGGCCACCGTATTTGCCATCCTGTGATGCCGCAATCACCGTCACGCCTGCAAGTAAGGAGCTGATATGATCGCTCCATCTCCAGGATGGTGGTCCTCTTGGGCAGATTCCCTTCCTCTGGCTTCCATACCACCAATAGTCGTGTCCACGGGCTATCATATCCACTCGTAACTCATGTGTCCTGGCCAAGATCGCTTACCTGTCTTAACAGTCCACAATGTCTCCAATTCGGGTGTGTTTTCTGACCCATGTGTTCGTCTGTCTGTGTCTCAGTGTAATTCCCAGTAAAAATAAATAAATCTCCATGCTTCTGTGCATGCTTTTCAGGGTTTTCTTCCTGCTGTCAAATTCTATGTTTCTGATCCATATGGCAAACGTTCGACTTGAAGCACACTTAGGTATATTGATTTTCATCACCACGTTCAATTTAGCAAATGCACTTCTGCCTGCTCTTCTTTGCATATTTAAAGTCATTATTTTCATCCTGGTTCACATTCAATAATTGCCCAAAGTATACATCATCAGTTTCGTTTCCCAGCAATATCCAGATATCAATGATTTACTTTTTGTCCAGCAAAAGAATTATTATGACTACTCAATCTCAACTCCATCAAAACAAGCTTCGGTTTAAAAAAAAAATGCCCCGTGTTTTGGCATCTTTGCATCAGCTGGCACACACACAAACAGACAAAACAGGGCACTCTTCGGCTTGGACAGATGACAATCCATGAAAAGTGGCAAGAAAGGTTAAGGTGCAGCCCTGCAATTGCTAGCTCATGCCACTCATGGCAGAAGGAGCCTAATCTACCATGCTGGCCAGACGTATCAGAGAAGCCGTGGGAGTACAAAGACAAAGATCCACCGTATAGCCTTAAACAGACTGTTGGGGCAAGTGCTGTTAGCGAGCACCTATGAAGGCCGGCACGGCACACGAGGGGGTGGGTGGGTGGGTGGCCAGCACCACGCCCATGGGAGTACCCACACTTCACCCCACCACACGCCACCTGCCGATAGACTCAATGAGGATGTACCCCATTAATACTGATTGAGATGTAGGGGTCGGGGGAATGTAAGACTCACTGCCCCCTTCCCCCCGTATTTTACAGCTATTGTTGGGGGGCTGCGTCTTATAATCCGGTAGATGTGTGCGCTGCCCAGATGTATCCACTCTCATTGACACACCGGGCACACGTTCGGAGTGAGACTTACTCTCTGCAGCGTCATATAATCCCATCATTCATTATCCGCGAAGCTGGCATTTCGAAGACAACCTCAATAATGTAACCACAGTAAATACGCAATCAGCCTCTTTCCCATTTACCTCTCTCTAAAAAAGCACGTTAGTATGTTTGTTTCACACACATCTCATCAGCCAGACGGCATTAGGGTGTGGGTATTGCACACACAGACACACAATTTCAACAGCACCGATTCTGCGGAACCGGCTTCCACGTCTCGCGTCTCATCAGCAGTCAACCAAAGTCACCGCTGCCGAACGTGTCGCACGTGTGCCTGCTGTGTGCCTCTGTGGGGCTCTCACCGTCTCTCCCCGATGACGGTGGTCCTCGTGTCTCTCCTCGTCTCCTCCGTGTTTGCCTCCTTTTGTGTTGTTGTTGTTGTTGTCGTCCACGTGCGAGACGAGGACGGAACGGAGAGGGGCCGGCTCGCCACTCCACGCCACTGGCGAGTGACAATGATGCCGCTGCTGATGGTGCTGGTGGTGCTGGTGGTGGTCGTGATGGTGCTGGTGGTCGTAATGGTGGTGGTGCTGGTGGTGGTGCTGATGGTGGTGGTACTGGTGCTGGTGGTGCTGGTGGTGGTGCTGGTGGTCGTGATGGTGCTGGTGCTGATGGTGCTGGTGGTGGTGCTGGTGGTGGTGCTGATGATGCTGGTGGTGCTGATGATGCTGGTGGTGCTGATGATGGTGGTGGTGCTGATGATGGTGGTGGTGATAATGGTGGTGGTGCTGATGGTGGTGCTGATGGTGGTGGTGCTGATGCTGATGGTGCTGATGGTGGTGGTGCTGCTGGTGGTGGTGCTGATGGTGGTGCTGCTGCTGGTGGTGCTGCTGCTGGTGGTGGTGCTGATGGTGGTGGTGATGCTATCACTGCAACGCGCGTTCGCTACAAAGGGGCGACTCGCACTGCGTTGCTGCGGCGTGGGTTGTGGGAGCCGCTTGTGAATGTGGCCACGTCGTCGTCTTCTTGTTGATGATGATGATGTTGTTGTTGTTGTCGCGAAGTCAAACGCGGTTCGGAACCCCAACGACAGCCGATGGGCCCCAGGCTGGCGACTTCTTCGTGATGAGAAGTGTGCCGGGACAGACAGCCAGAGAGAGAGACGGGGCGGGCGGGGGGGAGATACGCGTACAGCAACTGAACACAAAGCTTTCGTCTTGCCCTATTCCCGCATTACAATCTAGCCCGAGCCGTCGGCTTCAGAGACATTAACGTGAACGCATGGCGTGCGCTGGTGATGATGATGGTGGTGCTGGTGACACATGGAGCATTGTAGGCACACAGCCGACTCCACCGCATCTAACGGTGGAAGTGTGAGACCCAGAGCACAGCCAATGCCTCTTCGTGTCTCTCTCTCTCTCTCCCTTCTCTCTCTCTCGCCCCGCAATAAGCACACTCCAGCTGCCAACTGCTGCCCGCGATTGGATGGAAGAGCCCAGCCCGGGACGCGACTGGGATCATTCCCGCCCACTTCCACGCGTGGAAGAGGAGGAGGAGCGAATGCCGTGGAAGAGAGACCAAAGGCCAGCCCCCATCCATACATTTGCATGGGTTCCATTAGCCTCCATCTCACTCCACCCACCACCCCCCCAACTCTTGTCTGGCTCATGGGAGGGAAGCGTGTGTGGGGTGGCTGACCCTGCCCGGTCGGTCGTTGGTCATGCAGGCATTGTGGTGGTGGTGGAGGGGGGATTGGAATATTGGCTGCGTATGTGCAATGCTTAAAAAGACAGAGAGTGGTGATGCTGCTCCTGCTGCTGCTGCGTTGGCAGTGATGCACAAGCACAAATCATTAACAAACGAAACAGAACCTCAACACATATTCGTCTGTAGCGCTGCTTTAAAAGGCAGAATACAATCTCTCCAGCCTGCTAGGAAGGACCATTGCCCGAAACGTCGCCTATCGTACTTTCCCCCCCGTTTGAGGCAGTGTTATTAGCGGATGTAACGCGATTTCGAGCTGTGGTCTACGATTAATTTCGTAATCGATTGCCTGACCGATTGTGATTTAAATGACTCACTTAATAGAATAATGGGATCCCCTATTTTCGAGCAAATTGGCCATTTAAAAATAAATTATATCCATTAAGTAGGATTAATTGTGATTTTAAGCTTTCGTGACTGCAGGAATCCATACTCTTTGGTTCTTACGGTAAAGTCACGTAGGTAGAAAAAATAATAGATCACGACGTTTCGATCGCAACACAAGCAATCGTCATCAGGTGGGACAACTTCAGCAGTTTTTTCTTGCTGTGGTTGTCCCACCTGATGACGATTGCTTGTGCTGCGATCGAAACGTCGTGATCTATTATTTTTTCTACCTACGTGACTTGAGGATAAATTGTCTCCATAAATACGTATGTACGTTATATATAAATTTTTATAAAGTCCATCAGCCTGTTTGCTTTCTAGAGCAACATTATCAAGCAGAAAATTTGTTTGAGCAAAGAAACTCGATCAGTTTAGACCTGGGCCTCATCAGCAGAGCTGCCAGATTGCCAGATGATATTGGCAAGAGTACTCCATAATCGAAGCTATGTATGGGCTGTCCGTAACGCAGCGCTGAGTGTATCCACTGCTTGCTTGTTCAGTGCGGGGTGTTGGAGGCTGTGATAATAGACGTGGGAGCATAGAGTTGTAGAACATTTATACATTTAGTTTTTACTGCCCTCTGCTGTCCACTGCGCAACTTCAGAACTTTTGCGGCCTTGTGTACGAAGTGTTAAACCATTGCAGGTCGAGTGAAACAAACATTCCTCGTATTTTATTTTCAAGTTTCTGAATTTGTATGGATTTATGAGTAAGTTTGGAGGATCATACAGGTGTAGCAGCCCCTCCCCTCTTATGTCACTACACAGGTATGGAGAAAGCCCTCTTACCTGCAGGACATAGAGTACAGCAAGTAGGTGTGTAGACTACATCTACACAGAGTTTAAATTTGAGAACGAGTACTACCCGCTGATTTCCTATGTGCAAAACATACATGTTGCCATATATCCCCGAAAAATGTGATCGTCACCAAAGTGAATATTGAGACTTGCCTTGGCTGGCCTGGCCTAAGCACCAAGCTAATCTGCAGGAGATAGAGTGCAAAGTCGGAGTCTTGCCTATCTGTCAATGCATATTTTGGGGCGCCTTTATCTGACTTCCCAATGTGTAAAAACAAACTACTGTACTGCAATTGGCAAACATCCCACAATCAAGACACTCATAAACTTAATTTTGAAATTTGATGATGCTTGTCTGGGTAACATATGCAATGTAATTATGGTTTAGTTGGGATTTTTTATCGTTATTAAACCTAATTACATAAAGAATTGTGTTTATTCGGCGCTTAAATTCCGTGGGCATATTCAAGCGCCTGACAAAGCACAAGACCTCAACAATACATCATCACGCACAACAAAGCTAAAACATAAATGGGAGAAACCTGAGGCTGTGAATCTCTGGGTGAGTCGAGTGAGCGACGTCACAGAAACAAGTGAAAAACTTCGCACACACAACAGAGAACAACAACAACCAACAGCACCACCTGTGCCCACCAACCACCAACCCACAACACCTCCACCAGTCAGACACCCACTCAATTACCACCACCACCCGATCACCACCAACCACAAATCCACACCACCTCCACCAGTCAGACACCCCACTCAATCACTACCACCAACCACTCGATCACCACCAATCCATGTCATTTCCATCCGATTACCGCCAACCATCTCCACCACCTACTCTGGTATACCACCTCCACCATTCTAGATTTGAAGCTTTCGTAACTGCAAGGATTCATACTCTTAGGTTGTTTCGGTAAAGTCACTTAGGAAAAAAAAAATCAAATAATTAAAGTAAAAAGAATAGAAATCATAATTTTATTTCTATTATTATTTCTATTATTTTTACTTTTATTATTTATTTTTACCTACGTGACTTTACCGAAACAACCTAAGAGTACACCTCCACCATACCAACAATCCACCCAATCACCACCACCACCACCCGACTATCCACCCCCTACCACTAACAGTGCCACCGTGGTGCAACAGCTGCAACGCGTTGGGAGAAGCCCCCAAGCTATGACATGCCAGGTGGGCTCAGCCCTCTACTAAATGCCGCTAAATCCAATAAATGCTCAAATTTATCTCGATCGTAATGGCAAAACAACAAAAATAATAATTGCCACCCAATTTACTTTAAATGGGCGTGCGACCGTTTTAACGTTACCCTTTGAACGCTTTTATTTCACTGCTCACTGCTGTTTGCCAACAGTGCCCGTGCCCAGGGCACGCAGGGTGTTGAACGGCAGCAGCTGCATTCCGTTCCCAACCCGTGCCCACGCCCGCTTTAAGCTCTGGCCCGTGTCCACGGCACTTAATTCCCTGCCCGATTCACAAACATCCCGTGACAACCATCTCTACATTCGCTCGTGTAAATAATTCAGTATTTATAGCTCAACTTTGCCTGCATTTAGCTTAACTTTGGACAAACACAAGACATTTCTTGCTTGCAACCACGATGTTTTATTTACGTGGAAAGATGGGCCATCATTAATGGGAGGCACAATTGAGATGAGCTCAACTGATGCGTACCTTCAAAATTTAACATTGGGAAAAATCGCAGTAAATTCCACCGCATTTTGCAGTCGCTACTCTCCTCCTGCCGGATCGTCAACCTATTGCTGTCTGCCACCTTGGCCCTGACATCTGCGCCTTGAGTATGACGGTTACCACCTGTCCATGCTTGGCCCGTGACAGTCTGGCAATTGGCGTCTACGTTCGCGCGGTAGGACTCTATTTGTGCCGAGATATGTTCCTGGTATTGTGTTGAAAGTTACTGCAGTGTGCTGACACGATAACAATGCCCCGGTTCGGTCTGTGGAAAAGGTGGTGATCCTATAGACTATCCCACCATCTGGTTCTTCGAACTTGCCCTTTCACTCTTAAATTCTGACTCCCCGGCCGTTCCACCCCTCCAATGGCTGTCTCGATAAGTACTGTAATGCAAATCTGCGTTGACAATTCGCTTGGAGGTGCATGGGGGGGGGGGGAGAAACGTGGCAGCGGGCGACGGTCGCAGGCCACCCCCATTCAAGCGGCCACAATGCTGAGATGTTTGCTCGGTGCTTTATGGATCTTTACCCCCCCCCCCCACCCCACTGGGCCCTTATGGCGGCTGAAGGGATCCCGTAAAACGGCCAACGGCTTCTTTCCGCTCGATTTGTCCCCAATGGTAGAACAAGAGACGCGTGCGGACACATCTGCGCCCGTCCGTGGGCATGAGCCGCACGTGTGGCAAAGTCAGACGGACTCGAATACGGTGGAACAAATCCAAAAGTTGTCATTGTGATGAACTCTTCTGAGAATCAAGTACACGTGTCGTGTATATGATTCTGAGAAGGCTGTCTGTAATAACAACAGCATCTGCACACACCATGGCGGTAGATGCGAATACCTGGTGCACAAATGGAATTTTTTAAACTCTCCAGTCGTGGTGTGCGACCGTGGTCACCCAGAAGAGACCGTAACGACGCGATGCGCCGATCCACAAATGCGAAGGAGACATCACAGCGACGATGCACTCCTCCTCTGCTCCTGATGCGGCTTTCTGACTGGAGCACCTGGACGTGACATTGCAGCTGTTGCTCCACATCTACATCAGCCATACGAAAGAAGAAGAATAACTCAACAGTTCGTAAACTCTATTTTTAGGAGGGTGCTGCCCTAGTCGGATATTTGGCCAACACCAGTAACACTCTTAGATTCAAGTGAAGGTTATCAGCATCATCAGCCATGGTCGATCCAACGCTGGATGAAGGGCTCACGCAAGCGGCCCGGCCACCTCTCACGATCAATGCGCGTAGGAAGGTCACGGTGCAGCTCTGCAATTCCTTGTTCTCGCGCCACGGCTGCTGCAGAGGGCCTCCACTCGCTAAGAACGCGAGTGGGGCCCTCCCGTGGGTGCTTTGGCCTCCTCTTCCAACGCCCGCAAGACGCTCCCATGAGCACGGTTGGCTACGTACGGTGCGAAAGAAGTTCACCATACATCTCGGAAGAGGTGGGACCTCACACTTTGCCCCACCAACTCGCGACCTGCCGATCGACTAGGGGGCCGTTCATAAGAAATGTGACGTCCCATCAAAATG